CCAGCCCGCTGACGCCGCTCCCTCCTGTCTCCTCTCCCTTTCTCCTCGCTCTCTGTCTTCCTCTCTCCTCTCATTTCCTTCCTCTTCTCAAATCCACAACCACAAGCGGCGGCGAAGGGCATAGGGCGGTGGGATCCTGGCGTGGGTGACGGCGGTGGTGGCGGGCGGATCCCAGTGGTGGCGGCCGGATCCCAATGGTGGCTGCTTCTGGATCCTGGCATGGGCACCTCCATTTGCGTCGCCAGGATGGGCTCGGTCGAGGGGGGCCAGATCTATGGCAGCTCGGTCGAGGGGGGCGGGATCTACAACAACTTGGTTGAGGCCAGCGGGATCCATGGCATCGTATCCTGCTCTGATCCGGCCGACTAGGGTTTTTGCCGCCGTGGATCTCGTTGTCCACGCCATGGAGACCTCGCCTGGCAGCTCGGAGTCAAGCTCGCCGCCCCATCCCTGGCCACATGGCGGCGGCCCTCGTGAGGGCACGTGGAGCCACGCTCGCTGCCCCACCCCAGGCCGTGCGGCGTTCCCCTCGCCAGATCTCAGTGCTGCTCGTCGAGAGTTGCAGGTACTTCTCTGCGACTTCGTCTGGTGTTCATCATCTGCGAGTGCAAGTGGTAATAAATTATGGTCTTCTGCTAGTGCGAGAGGTCCTCCGTCTTCTTAGATGTTCACTCCTGTGTCTTGAACTGGGACCAGCAAGCCCTCCCTTGCGTTATATCAATCTTGTATGTCTATGTGAAATGTTTGAATCATCTTAGAAATTGCAGTGATGAGAATATTAGTCAATGATAGTATTTGGTTGTTGATTATGATGGCTCTTTATTCCGTTATTTTCCACTTTTCTTGAACTGACTTATCTCAAATGTGCATGTCTTGCAACAGATGGTGTCGTGATCGTATAATGTGCGTATCTTAACATTTTAGAACCAGTAAGTTCTTTTTGTCTGTTCTCAGTTCATTAAAAGCTATCTACTTGTCACTAGGCCACTGAGAAAATGATTTGTGAATAGGAAAGTTTGCTCGCTTTGAATTTTCAGAGGTTGTGGTTGAAGAAATATCAGTTGATAATTTTGGACGCTCTTTCCTAGGGCCTATTCGCTGGTTGGTGCTGGTGCTGGTTTGGGCTGGCTGGTGCTGGTTTTTTGTGAGAGAAAAACACTGTTGGCTGGCTGGTTTGGGCTGGCTGAAACCAACAAGCGAACAGGCTGCTAATCAGAATATCAGAATCTAAAGTATTATACTACTGGTGTGCTGAGAAGTCCAAGGAACATGGAATGGAACTTCTTACAAAGGTTTGTATAAATATACATTGCCTTTATCTTAACTGCGTTATGCCAAATTGTTATCTACATGGAAATGAAAACAAAACATAAAACGGTGTTATCTATAGCAATACACGTACTGATAAGGATTCTTATTCTTGTTTTTGTGTGCATAGATGAAAAACCTTTTGGCCGGGAGGCCAACACTCTCTGATCTCACTGGCATCTCCAATTCACGACTTGACGCTTTTGCCACTCATTTACAGGCTTATCTTCTTGCATCAAGTATTGGTGATGTTAAATCGTTGGGATCACTTAATGACTTCCTGAGTACTTCAAGGTCACATGATCAATATTTACAGCTCCAATCAGCTGTTTCCAAAACTTCCAGGTTCCGTGCCTCGGCTACTAGTGCAACTAAGTCAAGCTGTCTATCAAGCCAGCCTAAGTCCGAGATCTGGCACTTTTAAAGATGGGGTACCAAGGGCTTCATGTGCAAGGGTTGTTGGGAGGGACAAACTGAAGCGCCGTGCGGAATGGTCGGCCCCGTTAACTGCTCCGCTTGATACAAATCCTTTGACAATCAACCCTGATTCTACCAGTGAGAAGTGCGATGCAGATTGTTCAAAGAACAATGTTAGCTCAGTTCCGTTGGACATGCCTCTTTCATTTCCCTTGTTGCCGCCTATTTACTCCCTTGGCACTTGTCCAGCTCCTGAGGTTTCTTTGGAGAAACAATTTAAGCCTTACTATTGCTGGTGCCCACCATGCCCATCATTACTGCAATACACTGTCACCCCTTTGCATCTGCCAGCTACATCTGTAGATCCGCTGCCCCTACCACCTTTGAGTTCGCTGCTAGCAAGAGAGCAGCCACCGTCTTCAACAGTTTCTGTAAAGCTGGATACAACTGATCTCCCTTCCCTTAATCTTCCCTCCATACTGCATGACCCATTAATTCACCTTCCACCCCCCACTTCACCACTTATTCCCCTACATTGATGTCTGATCCCATTGTGCATGTCCCAGTCATTGATGTGTGTTCGTCGGGGCAGTCATATCTAGTGAGTTGTGGGCCTTCTATAACTTCAGCAGTTCCCCTGCTCCCGAGCTTGAAGCCTCTGCTGCCAGAAGCAGAATCGTTAGTCGAGAGAAGCGCAAGGGAAACACTGATGAGGCTCATAGCTTCGACACCTCCTGCAAGCAATCCTCGGCTGGCCAACGTGCTACCTGTGGTCATCCCTGATATGCCTGAAAGTATATACCGGGCCAATAATGTAAGATAATTGTTGCTGTTGTTCAACTAGATTTTACCTTCTTGTCCTGTGGCTTATTACTAGGCCCCGTTCGCTGGTCTGAACTTTGGCTGAAACTGACTGAAAAATATTGTTCCGGCTGAATTGTTGTGAGAGAAAAATACTGTTCCGGCTAAAAAAATAAGCCGAACAAGCCAAATTTAAGATAAACGAACGGGGTTATTTGATTGGTAGGTGAACAAGCATGTTGATGTGGGCCCCAATGACAAAGCGTTTGGTACGTCTTGTGTTGCAGCTGTGTTTGGAAGTGGGACTGCACAAGCTGAGGATGAAGTTCCAAGCGGAGATGATTCACAAGAGCAGTTTGCCGAGTATGATGGTACCAGCAATGAATGTGATGTACAGCACTGCCAGAAAATATAGTTCGTGATGGTACATGAAGGCGTGCTGCATGTCGCTATGGGGATGTCGTTTTAGTTTGATTGGCAGTTGCATCACCACGGTAAATAGGGTTTTAAGGATTTGGGATTTGATGCTCTGTATGCAGCCTTTTGTTTCTATGCCCAGCCAGTAGGACTGTCGGGTTCATAAATTCGGGGTCCCTCGGGAACCAGTTTCCACGCCAGGGCTCGGCCCAGGAAAACAACATGTAGCTCGTGGGCTGGCCCAAGAGCTTAAAAACACGACGGGCCGGAAGGACCCGACCGGAATGTCTACCCGAAAAAACAAAACTCCCGCTCGTCAACTTCTTCAGCCCACCTCTCCGACCTGAGCACTCGCTTCGGGCACCAGCCGCCTCCGGGCGGTCTCTCCGATCGGGAGGCCTGGCCCAAAACACTGCTTCCTACTCCGACCCCGCGTTTCCGACCGGGGGTCCGTAGAAAGCCTGCTTGCCGCTCTTCTCTTACTGGCGCGACCATGGGCGAATGGAGAAGGCAGTGCACAAAGTCAAACCACGATACCGGGACCATACCCTGTACGCCTGTGGGAACAGTGCTCTACAACCGCCCTGACACAAACAGTACTGTAGGCGCCGACATTTATGTCTACAATATTGTAGGCGCCATTAGGCTCCCATATGGCAAAAAGCCCCCCATGCCTCTGGGCATCGATAGTGGGCGCCAGGATTCACCATACCTGGTACATGTGGTAAGGGCTCCTCACATAACAATAGTATTTTGCAGGTACCGGCATCCACTCTTCCTGAAGAAGCCAACGCAATCTCTCATGTGCACCTGACATTCTACAATGACGTCAGCAGTATTATGGGCGTCTATCATCGTCACTGTCATCATCGGTGTGGGCAACAAGGCTTAGCAACATCCGTACTCTCCCCCTCTCACCTGTAAAGCCATCCCCTCCATCTATAAAAGGGAATGCGCTCCCTCCAACGAAGGAGGTCGACTTCTCCAAGCTGAGATTCACTAGAACGATAGCTCACAACCCTTCAAGCACACGCTTGAACACTTAGCTCATAGCGGAGTTTCGGTCGCCCTCGGCCCTTCTGGTCGGACCCGACCGGGCCTCTCATACACCCCATCTTTCTCCTTCTCGTTTGTAACCCCGCTACAGACTTCGAGCACATAGGCTTGGGAATAAAGTCACCGACCGGCCCAAATTGGACGTAGGGCACGTTGTCTGAACCAGTATAAATCCTGTATCATTGAGTGCTAGACCATCTCCGATCACAACGTACAACAAAACTATAAATATTCACTAGTTGGTCACTTTCTATACCGACAAGCCTATCTCTATCTGGTTGGCAAATGTAATTGGTAGTTTGTACTGTGTTTTGTTTTGGCAAACTTGCTGCGAGCCTCATGCTTAGTTTGGTTTATTTGTTTATGATGAACTTTAGCCTCGTAAAATATATATACTTCGTGTTTTAGAGCTGTACGCCGTCGCTGCAGCGGAGCAAAGCGAGGCTGTTGTGTTGCCTTGCGTGCAACCACGCGTGTTGGTACAGAAGCAACCTGCCTTTTATATGGAAAAAAAATTCTTAAAAAATTTTAATGGCTTAATTATAATACACCCAATGTACATTAATATTAGACAATTTTTAATGCAAATAGGGGAAGGAAAAAACAAAATGAGACGGTCATAATAAATTTGCCTGCAATTTGATGGGTAATCATAACAATTTTGAATGCAAAAAAAAATTGGTAATTAATAAAAAAAAACTTTGCGCTTGAAACAGTTGTCACGTTCATTGAAAGGTTGTTAATTTGTTACTCGGTCTGATCTATTGAAAAGGATGAATCTGGCCGGTTGCCGGTGGCATGCATGCAGATGCAGGGATCTCCGGAGTCTTTTTTCGCGATTCTTCTCTTTGCCGTGAACGACTTGGATCTCGGGTACTATGCTCTCTTTTTACTAGACTGATTCAGGCATCCTGGCCTATGCTTGCAATCCTGATATTGTGTGGGTTCCATAATTGATATATGATGGGCACTGCAAATTAATATTAATATCCATCAAAGCTCTACTGCTTGGTCAAGCAAGTGGCCACATGCCTGAGGAGCGCCTGCCCCGATTGCTGTGCGAAATGCTTCTGCCTCAGCTGCACATATGGGTAGCACAATGTCGCCAAGACATGCGCCGGCTTTGAGAAAGAAACCACCTCGTACCACACCCGCTCCTCCTCGTCCACTAGCACCGAGAACCGCTCCTCCCCAGCCTGCACACTCCACATACATATGGTCAAATACTGAGTTCTCGCTTACCAGTTCTAGCACATAGCAAAACCATACCAACATATCTATCCTCTGAGTATGTTTTGTGTACCAACCAGCAGATGGCCCTGTAGAGTGCCGCTGCCGAATGCAAACATCTTGGATCTATCTGAATCGTCATCGGTCACATACGCTATCTGAAGCGGCAGCATCACCCAGGGAATCAGCTCCTTGTAGCAGATACAGAACCTCGTTCCTACCTTCACCGGGGTGCCTGTTTCCACATTCGCCCACCCTAATGCCAAGTGCCTGAAAACCCGTTCCGAGAACGCTCAGTCAGGAGGCAAAAGCAGGGACATGGTATTTGAATATGTAGTGGGAAGGGCCATGAGAACTCTGGTTCAGGCTCCTTTTACCTCCATGAGAGGAGTGCAGATTTGGCATGGACAAATGCATTAGAACCTGAGCCAATCAAGACACGTGATCGGTTCACAAAGAAGCCACGCTCGGTAAGAGCCTTGTCGCATGTTTCGCCTCCAGCTTCTCTAGAGGTCAAGGTAGACGCTGACTTTGGGTGTGTGGCGCCATGGAGAGTTGTGTCGTAGTTGAAGCCACCAGCAGCTGCAAGGCAAGACTTCTGTTGCTCCTGCGTGGGACGGCCCATGCTCAAGAACAGACCACCCCATGACATGGATTCTTGCACGAGAGATGCCTCCTTATCCTGAAAGAAATGTTTAGAGTGGTTAATCGATATGTTGAAATCAGTCACATCACATGGGGGCGGCTACTGGATCATACTCTATTTTAGCTGCGAGAATGTGATATGATTGCAGGTCTTGAAAGATACATAATGATTGTCCATAACATAAATATCTAAAAGCCAATGTTGCTCTCTTCAACACAACACATAGGTCTTGGCAAGCAGGAATCTAAAACAAATGAGGGTTAATTCTGAGTTGAGATGCTAAAACCAGACTTGCACACATGATGAGGCATTAATTATACAACTTAGCTAATCTACTATTGGGCCTGTTCGCTGGTTGGGGCTGATGCTGGTTTGGGCTGGTTGGTGTTGGTTTTTTGTGAGAGGAAAACACTGTTGTACAATTTGGTTTGGGTTGGCTGAAACCAACAAGCGAACAGGTTGATTGTCATATGCTTTGGTTCACCGATATGGATAACACATGGTGAATCAAAAGTCAAAAAGAGGTAGAGGTCATTTCAGAGTACAGATGAGATAAACAAGAGCTGGACACATCTACATCATTCATAGGCACAAGTGCACTATTACATAGTTGCGACTCAAGGATAAGGTGTCTAGTTTGTACTGCTATGGTTTGACTTAAAACCACATATGGGGTTACTTGTTACCAAGTTTCAGGAATTTCGAGATTGATGACCAGTATGGTTGTATCTTATTCCTTCTCAAGCTGACTGAATGCAAGCCGAGCGGATAAAAAACGGGGAATTTTGAACTCATGGGTGCCTACTGAAATCACCCTATCTGTTATTAGAACATCTTTAGGAGACCCTCCAAATTCTACGCTCCATATCTTCATTTGACTATCCACTCCACAAAAAATTACATCCATATTACTCAACCTTCCAGCAAGCCAGCCAAATCTCAGTCCTCTATCCTATCAATCCACGTTCTATTGGTATTAAAATTATTTATAACGGTTATGGTAACGCTTAATATTTGCAACAGATTTTATTCTTGAACTTCTCTAATTTGAATGATTTAAAATGTCTATTTTCAACAAGATATATTACAAGCATATATTACATAATCTTGCATATGATGATGATGAATCCAACAATCATTGCATGACTAAGCCACCATGACTTAAGTGTGATTTTTACACATGCGCAAAATAATCATGTTCAGTTACATGCTCATTCTTTCTATGTCCTGTATGTGTGCAACTGCAAGATCACCTGGCTTGGCCGACCAAAATTGATAAAAGCAAGACATCAAAATTGTAAAGAATCTAGAGTAACTTGAGTAGGTAATCATACGGACCTATTCTCTAAATCAACATTAATTCCCATACTAACTTTGTTTTCCGCTTCCAAATAACCATAAAACTAGCACACCATAGCCTAATTGCAAAAAAACAGAACAGACACGTTGAACTGGCATTTTAGCTTGAACGGGCATTTCATCAAACACCTAAACTACGAGCAGTACAAGCAGCAGCAATCTTGCAGCATAGAACAATAGCAGCACAGAGCACAAAGTACAGCCACAATCAGAGGTAAATCAACACCCACAAGCAATCACATCAACCCATGACAGCATGCATAGACAAAGAGCAACGTCAGATACCAACTAGCTAGACCACGACCGCTTGACCAAGGATGGTGTGCGGCAAGGACCAAGGCGGATGCTCTTAGTGCTACCACCCATGAATTCCCAGACACAAGTTCAGTAATCTAAACATTGACACAGTTTCTTTTTGTTTGGCCTACAACACGCAGAGCTAGAACAAACTCACAACGTTATGGTACAGATAAATAGGAAGAAGGGAAGTAAGGAGATTGCAAACTCCCACGGCTAGCCGTGTTGGAGGTTAGAGAGACCTAGATGGTAGAAGAAGCGAACGAGGAAGGAGCCTGGTCGCCTATGCCGCCCGGGCACGACCAGTGCTGCATCGTCGTCGTCGAGAGAGGCGGCCTCCTCCAATCGTGTCGCGGCAGTAGGCCACAGTTGGAGGGGCACGTGGACCAATGGGACGATTTGGAATGACGCAGTGTATGGTCATCAGACATCTTAGGAGGGTTTCTTTTAGCTGTAGGCTTAGAACCAAAGCCGTAAAGTCTATTTTTACGATTTTATTTATAGTTTTATTGGCTTCTAATTTATTGTAGAAAACTAGAGAAATAGTTTCTTATTACCGTGTATGAGATTTATTAGAAGGCACTCGACAGAGTTAATTTAGGACAAATATAGCTACTTAGCTTCATTTACATATCTGTGTTGAACATTTAGCTTACACGTTGTCTTCAAGATGTATCCTGATAAAAGTAAGGAAACAATTTTTAAAATATGTTCATGATATTTCTCCATTCTAGAAGATGGGAAGCACAATAAAGGCTAGCATCGATTATCTTAGCACCGAACAAAAAAATTTATATAATTAGAGGTTTTGAGATCTAAGTATGCTGCTGTAGTCAAACACTAAACTAAAGATTGAAAAGAAAGTTTTCGGATCGAGTTAAATAAATCACCTCTCCTCCTCTGTGAGTACGTTTGGTTTACCTACGCACAGCTTTTGTCCAGGCTCCAGGAAGGGGCTTGATTGGTTACCTGGTCTGGTTGCGCGGGCCACCAACGACCCCGGAGTCTGGAGCCTGGTACGGCTCCTCCTCGAATGGCGTCCGTGCCGTGAGGAAGCAGCACGGCCCGGTGAAGACGGCGACGGTGGCGCAGCTCCTCACGGGGGCGGCGTGGGCGACCTTCGGGGTCACCGGGCTGGCAGCGGTGACCGGCGCCGCGGCCTCCACTTCGCTGCACTGTGGGCCTCGACGTCCGTGCCCAGGTCACGGCCCGCGGGTAAGCGAGAGCGTGAGAGAGAGAGAACGCGTCAGAGGGAGCATCTGCGTCGGGTGCACGCGAACGAGAGTGGAGATATTTATCCACTTCCATTCCAGCGGAAGGAGCGACTGGTCAAGGCCACGTAGCACGTGTGCTCAAGTCACGGAGGCCGTGGGGCCCGGCGGGACGGTGACGTGTTCCGGCCAACGGCCGCTCGCCACCTGGCTTGCAGGGTCCACCCGTCGGCGAGGACGGGCGACGCACGGCTCAAAACGGGCTGCAGCTTTGCTAGTCCGTTCGGCTGGCTGGGTTTAAGCCACAGCAGGCTGCGGCTGCCTTCTTTCAAACCTGGATGAACAGTGTTTGCTACCTACTTTTGCAGCAGCAGCCAGCCGCCGGTGGAGAGGTCTCGGACGACGATCTTGGTGGCCCCCGGGTGGATCCTAACGACATGCGCAGATCAACTCGAGCAGCTGGTCCTGGTCCTCGACGCTGGCGACGAGCAGGAGCTCGCGCTTGTTGACGTGCGTGGTGGCAGCCGCCCAGGGGCCTCCCGAGCATGCCACCGTCTCCGACTGCGGCGATGCGCGTGGACCCGTCGCAGGAGCGTGCCTCCACCATGGCCACGGAGCTCCCGGAGGCGGAACCATGGCCAGGTAGTAGCACGGCACCAGCACCGGCCGCATCATGTCCCATGCGGGCTGTGAGGGACGGCGAGCATGGTCGCGAGCACCATAGTGATGTCGGCTCGACAGGCCTGCAATATAAAAGGCAAAATTAAACTTCTTGCAGCCCGAATCGAGATCCGCAAGCTAAAATCGAGATCCTGGCAGTGGCAGCCCAAATCAAAATGCGCAACTAGAATTCTAGGTTCGAGTTCATCACAATCAATTGCTGCCCAAATCAAGCTTCTCACCATCGGATTTAAAGTTTGCTTCGAATGAAGGTCCTCACGCCATACACCGGCAGGCAGCAGACCTGTACCAGCTTCGAGCAGAGAGGGGGAAATGGAGGCATGGAGCTGTAACGTGGGAGACGGACTAGACAGACGGCGGTTTCTTCTCTAAACCGCGCGCGCGTTTCCGAAATGGGCAGGGCCCGCTCGTCAGGCGCAGTCGGCGACTTTCGCAGCGTCCGAAACGGGGCTACTCTTACTTATAGATACTAGCAACGGCTGTCCGCGCTTCGCTGCGGATGATAGGCTTGGTATAGGAAATTTTTTAAGAAATATGGTTCATATATTTAATATGTTTTTTCATCGTATTGGTACGGAAGGTTGGTCTCAATACTGTAAACAAACGTAGAGGTTGACTGTCATTATATGATGCCTATTCTAGGCCACCAAATTAATGACATGTTAATAGAAAAAAGTACTTGATAGAGTTGAGCTCAAGCAACTAACACACTTAGATTTAAAGCACAACATTGGATATGATTATATTATAGGTGGAAATAGCAAAAACTACAACATAAATACTTCTCCTGACGCGAGGGTTTACAAAAAAGTGAATTAGGATCCACTCCCCTTAGGCAAAACTACAACACGCATCCAACAACTACGGACGACAACAACGGCAAGAATACAATACAGGAGGACAGGGACGAAAAGCACTACTACTAGAGGTACAACATCCCAAGGAAACTAATCTACCTTGGAACCACGCATCTTTATTCCTGTGCTCGACGAATTCTTCTATCGCCCTGGTTATGGATCTGCATCTTCTCGTGGCCATGGCTGAGTGAGATGAACCAAGGGTTCTGCTTCTAACACTTCCGAAGGTGGAGGTGCTGGCGGTTCTGCATCACCGGTTCTCCTTCTTTTCAGGCGGGTGGATAGGGATCCCCTCCAAGATCGGGGCATCCTGCCTTTCATCAACCAGTGTCCTCCGCTTGGCCCTAGTGAACAGATAGGCCTCACCCAGCTGATGAACATGCCGATCTTCGGCCTCCTTCAGAGCTTCTGACATGGCAGTCTTTCTGCTCTCAACAGCTGCAGCACTGGCATGCGCTTCGGCGAGCTGCACCTGGAGCATCCGAGTGAAGATCTCGGCTTCTTTGGCGCGCCGGAGGCACGCCCTCAGCTCTAAGGCTTGCCTGTCATACTGCTCATCCAGAGCAAGCAGGTATGTGGTCAAGTGCACCACGGTAGGACTATCTTCTTGCGCATCCCGCCCTTGCAAAGCCTCCATGCGAGCCTTCCATGTCCGCTGATTCCTATCCAAGGGTGGAAAGAACCTCATGGGGGTACAAGCAATGGGATCTTCATAGAGCTGGCAAAGGTACCGCAAGGCTTTGCGGGCCACAACCTGGTAGGTGTCGGTGAAGCTAAACCCGGTTGCGGTCACACTCCAGGCTTCGGTGATGTCGGGGAACTCTTCACTCTTCCCAATGTAGACGGTAACCTCACACCAATCGGTGCCATGCTTCTCATACTCACGGCCCTCATACTCGGGACGATCTTTGACTCCAAGCTTTTACAGGGTGACATGCAGGATTCTAGGAAAACCCTCAACATTCAGGCAGTAACTACTAACCCAGGCTCCTACCATTTCTGGCGGTGGCTACAAAGAAGGGTTGAGCAAAAAGCTTACTCAAAGGAAAAACCTAAGCGAGCTAAAGCGCGCCGAGTGGTGGTACCAATGGCTAAGCCAGGCTCTGCTTATAAAGGCGGAGCGGTCTGTGGTCCTAGCGCGGTTCACTAGGGTTCCTGCGCGGGATCACTACGAACGAATCGACCAAATTCCACGTGTTCGAGGCGAGTGACGTGCGGTGCCATTGCTGAGTAGTACGACTGCAGGGCAAGGGCCCGACAAGAGCGTAGAAAAGGGGTATGAGGAGACGTGGGTCACTACTGACGTGACTCACGGGCGAACGCAGAGCACAAAGCCACAGTGCAGACATAACTCTGTAACAAGAACGAGTAGGCCATGCACACTATGACACGCGTGACACCTATGGATGGCGTATCTGCCAGCAATACGGCACAATAATGCACAAACAGGATATGCATTAATGCACGTCCTATGCGTCCGAGGTGAGCGATGTCCGAGGCCATTAATGACTAATACGGTTGCAAGCCAAGGTTCTGACAAGAGACCAAAAAAGAGTGCGGGGAGACTTGGGTCATGGTAGGCGTAACCGTAGGCGACGCAAAGCACAAAGCCATAAGGAACGAGCGCCTCTGCAAGCATGGATGTAGATGCAATTATGGCAGTTGTAGTAATGGCGACCAACCCCAACCACCGACCATCTTAGGAGCAACGTGCACACAACACAAGCCGTGTCCAAAGTGCACCGAGTGGCGACACCTCTCTCTCTTCCTGAGCGAAAAGCTAGATCAAAAGGATAAGCTAGGCGAGCTAAAGTGCACCGAGTGGTGGTAACAACGGCTAAGCCAGACCCTACTTATAAAGGCAGAGCGGTCAGTGGTTGTGGCGCGGTCCACCAAGGTTCCAGCATGAGATCACTATAAATGAATCGACCAAATTTTTCGTGCGTTCGAGGCTAGCGATGTCCAAGACCATTAATGACTAATACGGCTGCAAGACAAGGTTCCGATAAGAGCCCAGAAAAGAGTACAGGGAGGGGAGACGTGGGTCACGGTAGGCGTGAACCACAGGCGACGCGAAGCACAAAGCCACAAGGAACGAGCGCCTCTGCATGCATGGGTGCAGATGCAAGTATGGTAGCCGTAGTAATGGCGACCAACCCCAACCACCGACCACCTCGGGAGCAACGTGCACACAAACCAATCCATGTCTTAGATGCATGGATGCATGTGTAAGTATAAATGTTCCTGCATGGTTGATGAATCATTTTTATCTGATGGTGAGGAGAGGCATTAAATATGTCCACCTGCCGTACTTGTTTTTATCTGATGGTAGCATGGCAGGGAGGCATTAAATGTGTCCACCTGCTTTCGACCCACCCTACGTAGGTGAAGATGTCCAGTGCTTTTAAATTTATTGAGTGAATTTTTGGATAGCTTAGGGAATGGCCTCAGACACTGCTCGTCTCGTGCGCATAAAAATCCTGCCGCTTTCCTTTTATTGCTCTCTGCGCCAGACTAAACGGTGGACTGCGCCAGGACCAATGACCGCTCCGCCATTACAAAAGGCCTAGCCTAGCCACTTGGTACCACCACTCGGTGAGTCTCAGCTCACCTAGCCTTTCTCCCGAGCAAGCTTCTCGCTCGATCCTTCCTCGTAACCACCATCCACCAAGGATGGCAGGAGCCTGAGTTAGCAGCTATTGCCTGAACACTGAGGGTTTTCCCAAAATCCTGTATGCCACCTTGCAAAAACTCAGAGTCAAGGATCGCCCCGAGTATGAGGGTCATGAGTATGAGAAACATGGCACTGAGCGATGCGAGGTCACCATCTACATTGGGAAGAGTGAGGAGTTCCTCGATATCACTGAAGCTTGGAATGTGACCGCAACTGAGTTTTGCTTCGTCAACACCTACCAAGTTGTGGCCCGCAAAGCCTTGCGGCATCTTTGCCAGATCTATGAAGAGCCAATTGCTTGTACCCCCATGAAGTTCTTTCCACCTTTGGAAAAGAATCGATGGGTATGGAGGGCTCGCATGGAGGCTTTGCAAGGGCGGGACACGCAAGAAGACAGCTCAACTGTGATACATCTGGCCACGTATTTGATTGCTCTGGATGAGCAGTATGACCAGCAGGCCTCGGAGCTGAGGAAGCGCCTCCGCCGAGCCGAGGAAGCCGAGATCTTCTCTAGGATGCTCGAAGTGCAACTCGCTGAGGCGCACGCCAATGTGGCAGCCACAGAAAGTCATGAGACTGCCATGGCAGAAGCCCTAAAGGAGGCTAAAGATTGGCACACCCAGCAACTGGAGGATGCTTATCTAGTCACAAGGGCCAAACGTCGGACGCTTGACACAGAAAGGCAGGAACCCTTGGTCTTGGAGGGAATCCCTGTCCACCTATCGGAAAGAAGGAGAACTGGTGTTGCAGTACCACCAGCACCTCCACCCTCTGAGGTATCAGAAGTAAAGTCCTTGCTTCCCCTCACTCAGCCACCACCACGAGAGGAGACATATCCTTAGCCAGTGCAGAAGAAGAACCAACCGAGGCCGAGAATGAAGCCATTTGGTCCGACGAAGTAGATGAGTTGGCCTAGGGGACATATACCCGTAGTTAGTAGTGCTTTTCATCGCCATCCTCTAGTGTTGTAATCTTTTCATTGTATTTCATCTGTAGATGTTAAGAATCGTCGGGTCATAGGAGGCAAACGATGTGTCGACAATGGGAGAGTGAGTGCCTATATGTTGTACTCATCTAAGGGCATTTTGGACGTGCATTTTGCTTTATCCGTTGTGTTTGTTATGTCGGTTTACCCTTAGACCTCGTTACACCTACTTAGGGTTCTCGAGGCAAAAATCAAATGGGTTATAAGAAAAGCAACCATTCAGATGCAAGCAGACCAGCTATGATTGGAAATGAATCGCAAAGGAGGTAACAAATTAAAGCTGCCTTTTCACAAACTAAAGACCTCCCACTAACATAGTGTAGGCTTTCATTTTCAAGATGTATGTTTGACCTAAGACCGCATGCAAATTAAAGACAGGTGCACCGCCAGTGGCCACTCACTCGCTCTCCTTTTCTCGCACACTGGTGCCGTCCTCTCAGCGTCAACATTAGTTGTAAATTGTAATATACATGCACAATACAGTTACATACTTGTGGGAAAAAATGATTTAAAATGAATGCCATTTTTATTCATAACGGTATAGTACAATCAGGCTGTAACACCGATGATGCCATTGGTGTTTAGTAGGTACAAAGTTACATATTTCACATAGATCCAACAGGAATTTGCCGTTACTGAAATTTCGCAAATTAAATGTGATTTTCTATGTCACACTTTCATATTTGAATGCAAGCAACTCCCTAGGAACTCAAGCAAACTGTTGAGGAAGTATCATGTACTAGCTTCTGCATCAAGTGTACTTCTGACTCCATCTTGAAATGAGATTGGCTTGATACCAAGAATCTGGGTTAGCTTGGTGATGTCCATGGATATGTCTGGTGGAGAAGCTACCCCTCGATTAACCTGGGCAACAGGTAGTTGCGGGCATTACAAGATATTATGATGGAAAAATAAGCATATGGAAGCAAAATGTTTAAATGGACCTCAATACTCAATGTTGGATACTATTTCAGTTGTAAAGTTAAGACCAACGTGTATCTAAAACATCATGCTTATTGAGTAAATGTGTTCTAATAGCTAGTACTCGTGTTAACACTAAATAGGCAGATATCATATGGATGCTTCAAAAGTTTGCATCAGCTATAAGTTAAACAGGCCTAGATTTTGGATAGCTGTCAAATTAATGGGAAGAAGCAGTGGGTTTATTGCAATGCATGCTTCTCTTTCAGGTGGGCAGGTCGATGTCTGCTTAGTACCTGAGATAATATAAATGTAATTGTTACTATATTTAAAATTGCCATATGGTTTCCTCACACATGGATGCAGTAACAGAAGCTTACAATATGAATGAAGGTCCCGTTCACTCTAGACGGTGAATTTGGTGTTTTTGCGGCACCTTGAGCATTTGCTAAATAGTAAGGGATTCTGGGTGGTTTGTGTTGCAGAAGCTGCAGGACAAATAAGCTGAAATTCACATCTAACTGGCCTCTATCTACATCTGACACACCCATACTGAGGCCAGAGGGAGAGGAATCGAAGAGACACGGATCCAAAGAGACATAATCACATTAATAAACCTGATATGTATGGTCTGAGGCACGAGAGTCATCGCGGCGAAGGAGAAAAGGCTGTGCAGTTTGATGGGCATTTAGTGGAGAAGATCAGGTGGCCACGTAGTGGACCCATGAAGGTACGAAGACTGCGTGCCGAAATTTTGATGACATGGCAGCACGAAGAGCGATACATCGCTAGTTGCATTGATAAAAAATCATATCTGCTGCTGCTAACTTTCATCTATTTTGCTGCTCCAAGACTATATGAACAGTTCTACCAGTCTGGTACTCTCAGTGCAGACAATGCTACAAATGTACTATTAACTTTGAGTAACTTTAAAAGCATCTAGATTCACAGACAATCAAAATGATCATAGAGTATGATAGCTATCCAAAATTTGGTCCTGTTTAACTTATAGCTGATGCAAATCACAATAGAAGAAACTGTCACCTCACTACATAGGTCTGTAGCATCATTAGAAGCCCACAATTTGATCCATACAAGAGCGAATCACTGCATAGAAAGGATAGGTAAAATAGAAGAAAATTAGGTGAAGCTTACATGTGTTAGAGTTTGAGCCAAAAGCAGTAGGAGGCATATAGAAGACATCAGATTCCTACAAGGTATAAATGATACTACTGGTCAAGGAGCTTTTTGATACTGCTGGCCGGTCAAGAAGCTTCCTCTCAATTAGACATCAGATTTATGCAGTACTTTCTCTCTCTCTCTCCGAGGAACACTACATTTAGTTTTAGTTAATTTGCCTGTAATTGCACAATGACATTCAGTTTCAGGATTGTCTTTGCTTAACAGGAAGAGGTGATGAGGCTAATTTTAACAAAAACAACACTGGCATAATTCTTCAATATAAATCCCCGTGTGAATTCCATTCCGACTTGGCTTGGTTTGGCGTTGCTGTGATGAGAAATGTTGGAGCATCATAATCACATCGGACCACACTCGCTCCCTTGGTCCACGTGCACCGAGAACTGCTCCTCCCCAGCCTGCACACTCTACATACGTATCATCAAAGACCGAGTTCTCACTTCTCAGTTCTAGCATGTAGCAAAACCATGACAACATATCTATCATCTGAGTATGTTTATGTGTATCAACCAGTAGATGGCCCTATAGAGTGCGGCTACCGAACATAAACATCTTGGATCTGTCTGAATCGCCATCGGTCACATACGCTATTTGAAGCGGCAGCATCACCCAGGGAATTAGTTCATTGTAGCAGATGCAGAACCTCGTTCTTACCTTCACCGGGGTGACCGTTTCCACATTCGCCCACCTTAGTGCCAAGTGTCTGAAAACCAGTTCCGAGAACGCTCTGTCAGGAGGCAAAGGCAGGGACATGGTATTTGAATATGGTATTTGAATATGTAGTGGGAAGGGGCCATGAGAACTCTAGTTCATGCTCCTTTTACCTCCATGAGAGGAGGGCGGATTTGGCATGGACAAATGCAACAGAACTTGAGCCAATCAAAGCATGTCATCGGTTCACAAAGAAGCTGCACTCAGTAAGAGCCTTGTCTCTTGTTTCGCCTCCAGCTTTGCTAGAGGTCAAGGTAGACGCTGAATTTGTGTGTTTGGCGCCATGGAGTGCTGTGTCGTAGTTGAAGCCACCAGCAGATGCAAGGCAGGACTTTTGTTGCTCCTGCGTGGGGTGGCCCATGCTCAAGAACAGACCTCCCATCCTGAAAGAATGTTTGGGGCGGTTAATTGATATGGTGAAATCGGTCACATTACATGAGGGCGGCTACTAGATCATACTCTATTTTAGCTGCGAAAATGTGAGATGATTGCAGATTTTGGAAGATGCATAATGATTGTGCATATCATAAATATCTGAAGGCCAATTGTGCTCTCTTCAACATAACCATGGGCCTTGGCAAGCAGAAATCTAAAATAAATGATGGTTGATTCTGATTTGAGACGCTACAAACCAGACTTGGACACATGATGGGGCGTTAATTATACAATTTAGCTAATCTACTACTGTCGTATGCTTTGGTTCATTGGTATGGATAACACTTGGTAAATCAAAAGTCCAAGAGAGGTATAGCTCATTTTAGAGTACAGAGGAGATAAACAAGAGCTGGACACATCTGCAATATTCACAGGTACAAGTGCACTGTTAGTTGCGGCTCAAGGATAAGGTGTCTAGTTTGTACTGCTATGGTTTGACTTAAAACCACATATGGGGTTACTTGTTACCAAGTTTCAGGGATTTCGGGATTGATGGCCAGTATGGCTGTATCTCATTCCTTCTGAAACTGACTGAATGAGTGCCTACTGGAATCACCCTATATGTTATTAGAGCATATGCAGGGGACCCTACAAATTCTACTCTCTATATCTTCATTTGGCTATCCACTCCAAAAGACTCTCTGTCCATATTACTCAACCCTCTAGTAAATTAGCCAATTCTCAGTCTCCTATCCTGTTAATCCACATTCTATTGGTATTCAAATTATTTGTAATGGTTATGGTAACATTTATTATTTGCAATGGATTTTATTCTTCAACATCTATAAATTGAACGGATTAAATTGCACTGCCTATTTTAACTAGATATATTACAAGAATATATTACATAGTCTTGCATCAGATGATGATGAATCCAACATACATTGCATGGCAACGATGACTCATTTCTGATTTTTGCACGTGCGCAAGATAATCATGTTCAATTACAGGCTTATCTTTTCTATGTTCAATATGTGTGAGGATATTAGATGAGGTGAGTTGTCGAATGATGTGATGTGAACATCCTGAAAGGAAGGTGCTATTGGCTTGGCTGGCCAAAATTGATGAAAGCAAGACATCAAAATTACAAAGAATCTAAAGTAACTTCAGTAAGTAATCATATGGAGTTCTCCAAATCAACACTAATTCCCATACTAATCTTTGTTTTCCGATTGTCATGTCATAGCATCTAATTACATGACCATGAAGCATATCATAGCCTAATTGCAAAAAAAAAAAAACACAGACGTTGAACTGGCATTACAAGCAGCAACAATCTAGCAGCACAGAGCAATAGCAGCACGGAGCACCGAGTACAGCCATAATAAAAGGTAAATCAACATCCACGTGCAATCACATCAACCCATGACATCATCCATGGACAAAGAGGAATGTCACATACCTACTAGCTAGGCCAAGGCCACCTGACCAGGGATGCCGTGCGGCAAGGACCAAGACGGATGCTCGTAGTGCTATCACCCGTAGACACCCAAACACAAGTTCAATAATCCAAACCTTGACACAGTTTCTTCTTGTTTGGTGTACAACAAGCAGAGCTAGTACAAACTCGCAACGTTATAGTATAGATAGGTAGGGAGAAGCGCAAGCGCAAGGTAAGGAGATTGCAACCGGCTGTGTTGGAGATTGGAGAGACCTAGAGGGTAGGAGAAGTGGGTGAGGAAGGAGCTTGGCCACCTGTGCCGCCCGGGTGCGACCAGTGCTGCGTCGTCGCCGTCGAGAGAGGTGGCCTCTTCCAACCGTGTCGCGGCGTCGGGCCACAGGCAGAGGGCAGGTGGGCTGATGGGACGATTTGGGATGACACAGTGTATGGTCGTCAGACGGCTTGGGAGGGCTTCTTTCGGCTGTAGCCGAAGAATCGAAGCCGCGAAGCCAATTTTTATGGTTTTATTTATACTTTTATTGGTTTCTAATCTATTTTTAACAAACGAGAGAAAATAGTTATTTTAGGACAAATGTAGCTACTTAGCTTCATTTACATATCTGAATTGAACTTTTAGATTACACGTTGTCTTCGGCCTTTAGAGGTGCATCCTGATAAAAGTAAGGGAACAAGTTTTTATAATGTCTTCGTGATATTTCTTCATTCTAGAAGAGCATAATTAGCTTAGAGGATACAGAAATGCAAAATACAGGTTCTGAGATCTAGGTATGCTGCTGTAGTCAAACACTAAACTAAAGACTAAATAGAAAGTGTTCCTCTATGGGTGTGTTTGGTTACCTGTGCAGCTCTCGTCCAGGCTCCAGAACCTGTCGGATGGAACCTTCCTCTCCCCCCGACGGATCCGAGATCTCATCTCCTCACCAACCCCACATCGCCGCCGCCGCCACTGCCGCCTCCACCTCCACTATCCACTGGGCGGAACGGCTGCCGGCTCGCTGATGCTACTCCAGTCGACGTTGCCGGCTTTCCCTGTCTGCTCCAATGACGAGGCCGTGGAGGTTGTGCTCATGGGCGACCAGGCGAAGGCCGAGGATGGGCTCCTGCAGGTGATCAGGCGTACAGCGATGGGCTCGGCGGCGTCCAGGTGGGATGCTTCCTGCGCAGGTCCGCGAAGCGAGGCGTGGACGAGGACGGCGAGGAGGTCGTCTACGCCAGGCCAGCACGCTGGCGCCCCGCACGGCGGACAAAAGTAAATTCACAATTTTCAAGTGATCAGCACTTCAGCAGTCAGCCCGGTAGTCTGCAATGCAAGGAAACAAAATTCAGGTGATGTTCAATCTTACATGTTTTTGTTTGTCGAGCCAAACGAATATTTCATGTTTTTGATTCATCAAGTCAAATGGACAGATGGTGAAGCAGCAACCAAGTTTAGTTTTACAGTCTTGATTTTGAAAGTTCATGTATGTTCAGTCTTCCTATTTCCGAAAATTTAGTCTCTCAGGTTTTCGACTACCATTGCCATCCATTAAATTTAGACTTGCAGTTTTTGAAAGTTTAGTCTTCCATGTTTTCACCTTCCATTGTTCCTCGTCCAGAAAATTCTCAAATTTGTTTAAAGCAGCTGTATCACCACCAGCAAGCAAGTTCGGTGATTCCAAGTATACTCCCATTGTCTCGATTAAATACTTTATATTTTCCTCATCTTTTAGCATTCGGTTACATATCATTTATCCAAGTAGATTGCTTTCATAGTTTTAGGCTTTTAGGTATGAGCTATGCGCTTCATCTAACCCTTTTGCATTCCGAATGAGAATGCCAACTATTGCATGGTTTCTATTTTTTGTTTTTTAATTATGTTAATATTACATCTGCACATTGCCATTCTCTAGAACTACGAGGCTAATACAATTCTTTTCTTTTATTTATTTTTCTAGGGCAATAATGTTTAAGTGAAAAACAGAATAGGTATATTATAAATATATATTCACAATTAATATAATGATAACAGACGTTCTGCGTACCTACTTGCTCATGATTTATCAGGTATCCAGCAAGGAGACCTCAAACGAGCTCCCAGTAGTGCTGATGGCGACGACATTGCTGTCCTCATCACCATCTCAACCACCCAGCATCCCTCCAGATCGAAGATGTTAAGGACGCCTCAACGCATGCGCTGCAGCCCTGGCCCAGACCTTGTCAAAGATGGAATTGAAGTCCAGAAGGATGGAGCTGGAAGATTCCTAATTCTCTATGGTGTGAGCAACAACCTTTAAAATAGAAAATCTTATAACATCTTGACACCAGCAGTCTCCTACAGCTGAGCACTTGATGGTGCTGGTTCATTATTAGGAAGGTTTGAAACAAAGCAGAGATTTTTGTATGCTACTATGTTTATGTGAAATTCACGAATTCCAAATACAAATTTGACCTAACTTTGTGCTTGTATGACCGATGCTCTGAATTTGAAGTCCTTCGCTGTTGCTTAGCTTGTTTCAAGCCTTGGCTGCAAAACTGCCAGTGTAGTATTCCTGTCTGATCAGTGTCCACTTTGATGGACTACACAGTTGAGGGGTTTTATGTGTCAGTTCGCGCATTATTAATTGCCATAGTTATTTTGGTTTTCCGTCACTACTGTTATGCTGTCTTTGAGTTGCTAAGTAATTATTCGTAGTATTAATACTCATGTGGACCCTGCTGCGTATCTGATTGTGATTATGTTTCTGGTGCCCCCTGGTCTGCAGAAAACGTACTGCTAAAAAATGTACAGTTGATCCTGGAAGCCTTTGACTATCTGCAGCTGCCATTCTCGCTGAAGAATGGTATCGATTTTTTAATCCAATTGTACTGATTTTCCTGTCTGTTAACCATTACATGGTTGAAAACTTTTAGTTCTGTTTTATTGCTTTACAGGACGAATTGAGAGGCTAAGCATCCGGATTCCTTGGAAAAAGCTTTGGATGGGACCCTATCATTATTGTCATAGAAGATGTCTTTGTTTGCGCTTGCCCAAGCGAGGATTCCGAGGCATGTCGTTGAATTTGGTCATAGTACATTGCTCAATTCACTTTGTCAAATATATATGTTTCCACCCGTCTGACCATACATTCTATGGTTCTTTATCAGTGGAGCTTAGATTCTATGGACAAGAGAGAACTAGCTAGAAAGTTGGGTAAACAAAATGCCATTTGTCGACGCAAAAATCTAGTCAATGCGCGGGACACACGACAAGCCTGGGAGATCTGCTTAACCCCAGTGCAGATCCTGTCGATTTCGGAAAGTAGGGCGTGCTTGTCGATTTCGGAAAGTAGGGCGTGCTAGTTAATTTGACCTGTAATTGACAAGGAAAAAATAGTCAGTAGTCAAAGGTGGAACATGTCGACCGATGATCCAGACAGTTCCATGATCGACTGAATAGCCGATAGAGCAATTCATTGGCTATGAAGCCAATGCTCAGTGAAATGATTAAATAAAGCATTTTAAATAAACATCATCGACTAATAAATAGAGCATATTCATGTGTAAAATAAAATAAAACCATTAACTATGGAGCCGATGGATATAAAGCAAGATAAATCATGAAGACATAGGTGATCGGCTACGGAGCCGATGAATCATAGTATGCAAACAATCCTCTGCTTTCCTTATAAAAAAAATCTATAAACTAACAAAATCTAATCTAGTGTCACCACCAATCAGGTCAAAACGATGCAGCATTGGCAGCAGGGCGATAAATTAAAGATTGCTTAGCCGATAGATCTATTTATAATAAAACAGAGTATTGAAAACACACTATGTAGGACTAGGATTAAGACACAACCAGCTGCTAGAGCAAATCTGACGTCAGGATATAAATCAACGTGATAAGCAGCAAAACGAAAGATTAATATGATATAAGCAGATGCGCCTTAATCTAGTCAGATAACTTGTGATATTACTAAATCTAGCAAGAGATCATAAGATGCAGCCCTACTAAACGTAGTAAGATCGATAACTAGTGATTTAATACCAAATGAAGCAAGAGGTCATAAGATACAGTCTTACTAGATTAGATACAAAATCGATAACTTGACTAATATCAAATCAAGCAAGAGGTCAAACGATGCAGCCTTACAAGATTAGATACAAGTCGAAGACGGTACTTACAAGCAAACCCAAGATCGAAATCAATGCAGCCCTGCTCACTGAAGAACTCGCTGAGATATACTTTTACTCCTACTCCTAATGCAATGGCGTGAAGCCAGAAGAAGATGTGTATTGATCGAGAGATCAAAAATATAATACAATGGTCGGGGTTCATATTTATACCCTGGGCTGATACGAGTCCTAGTCGAATATGACTAAACAATTCTTGAATAAAAAGAAAATAATCTAAATTGGACTCCACAATTTTCTTTCCGGTAGAGTCTGACTTTGTCACGCTTGAGCCGATGCCGTCATCGCCGCGTCCCTCACGGTGCCTTTCCAAAGTCTAGAGTTTGATGACCCTTTCCAAAATCTGGTGCAAATACATGCCCCCTAATTTCGGAATAAAATATATTTGTTCCGAAATTCCCGAGCAATTATTGCTCCTGTCAACCGCCTCTCCCGGCATACGCATGCCTCCTCGATTCCCAGGCCGAGCCGGCTTTATATTTACCCCTACATCGCTTTTCCTTCTTCTTCTTCGCCATTTTGCTTTTGCCTTCAAACAATGAAGCGCTTCTGAAAGAATCGCCATCTTGAACCCAAAAACCCTAGACGAAGAGCAGTTCTTTCTTCTGCCAGATTCATCTCCATCGCCGGCAACGCCTCCTCTTGCGTCGTCGGCACTGCCACTCCTTGCAAGGATCGTTATCAAATGGGATTCGACCCCGGTTAGATCCAATCTCAAATTTCTCCGCCCACCTTCATCAATGGCGACTTCAACCAACGTTCCAGAGGTATGTTCGGCTTTTCCTTCCCTAATATTACGCCATTTCCAATCTTTGTGCCAATAACCCTAGGTTTGCGATTTTCTTTTCTTTTCTGCACTTGCTTTAATTTGATTCTTATTCCCCATTTTATTCCTAGGAGTTGAGACAAAATATTCTGATCCCGGCCAAAAACTACCAAGATATGTATTACCTGGGCCCCATAGGAAATCCTGACCCAGTAGATTTCATAAATTTGGAAACCCAAAGACTCCCATTCAAGAATTCCCAAATGCGGTTATCAGATCAGACTGGCAGGGTAGCATTAGATCCTGGCCCAATCAAGTTAAAGGTTAGAGGAACTGGTACCGCCGCATATCGGCTTCATAGCAGGTTTATTGGGACGAACGCGATATAGGTCAATGTATCGCGCTCTCTTTAGCCGATATGGAAAAGAACGAGCCTTTGTTGATTTCAGCTTCACACTTTTGGTCTAATGCTTTGAACGCCTTTCTTTTTGGTCATGAACCGATGACCATTACTCTAGCCGATGTGTTGATGCTGACAGGGCTCAATATTACTAGTCCCATTGCTCCTTATGACTTGTTTATCAAACCAACACATCGTCTCCATACCAAAGAAGCTGGTGGATGGTCCAGCTATATTTCAAAGCATACCAAGAATGGAACAGTTGATGTTAGAGAGCACACAACTTTCCTAAACATGTGGCTGGAAAAGTTCATTTTCCATGGATCAACCCTCGGGCCAACCAACAATCATCAATACTTGGCAGAACGCTTGGTTGGTGGTGGTGAAATCCCACTTGAAAAATATCTGTTAGGGGTGACTTATTCATTGCTGCATCAGGTTGCGGCAAAACTATCGGCTGGCGAGCCTATCGAAAATACTGGTGGCCCTTGGTGGTTTATCCAATTGTGGCTGAATTTGTATACGCATCAGGCGATGGGTAGAAGCATCAGAGGCAACAGCTTCCCATCTTTCAACTTTGTAGAAGGTGAAGAAATGTCAACCCGCCAATGGATGTCGTTTGGTGAAGCGGCATCGGCTATGTCCTGGTCCCCGGCTACTGCAGCTGATACAGCTCAAATCTTCAAGAGTCTTTACAATGGATTCACCAAGGACGCCACCATATGGTTTGCTTATAATGGAGCCGATGAGTTTGAGCTTCCATCAAAATTTAGATTTTCAGATGCTTGCACCGACGGTGCATCCATTTTCAAGTGTATCATTGCTCAAGGAGTACTCCTCGTCGGTTTTCATCAGGGCCGCAATAAGCAATAATCATATGAATTTTATTATCCATCGGTTGTAGCTCGTCAGCTGGGATTTGGACAATTGTCGATTGGATTGTATTTTGTTGATAAGCTAAGAGCAAGAGAAAAACTAAACAGCGCTCTAGAATTTGATAGAGTGCGCTTGCTCGCATCGGTCCTCCCACCAATCGTATTGACCCAATGGTCATACGGCGTGTTTAGCTCTACTTTGTTCAACCAGTGGTGGTCAGAATGGAAGAGGCATCTCTTCTGTCAAGCTGCAAAGACCTTTTGCCAACAACTGGATCCCGATTATGTCGATTCTGATAATGAGGTAAGAGATTTTCTCTTAGCCGATTCATAGCTCATCTCTTTTAAAACAATATTTAACCAAATTCTTCACAGGATGTTGATGTGGAACCGCCTACTGTTGATAGGAACAATCGGCCGATACAGTATTACTTGTTAGCTAATCTACTGCCACCTTGTGTGAACACAGCAAGGGAAGGCGGCGCCGACTTTGCCCCCTGCTGTGATACAGTAGGCGCTGCAGGTGCAGGCGCCGCACGGCTCACCTGCAGCACTGTAGGAACAGGCAGTGGCCGGCGCAGAGTCAGCCCTGTCAGGTTATCTAGTTACTGTGCCAGCATGGGCGCTGCACATGGACTAGCTAGTTAGAGTTGTATAAATAGACATGTATGGCAACTCAGTAAAGAGAGCTCAGATTTGCCATCACACAGACAGGGCCTCCGCCAACGTTGTTGTCTTGTATTGTGCGTGCTTACTCTGTTCTCCCTTCTTCTTCTAGCTCGATCTATAGTGTGTGGGTACGGACACAACCGGTGTAGTGGTCTGGAGACTAGTGGTCTAGACTGGGAGACTAGTGGTCTGGTCTGGGAGACTAGGGTTCTGGGAGACTAGTGGTCTGGTTTGGGAGACTAGTGGTCTGGAGACTAGTGGTCTGATCTGGGTGACTAGTGGTCTGGTCTGGGAGACTAATGGTCTGGAAGACTAGTGGTCGGAGACTAGTTCACTATCGTTGGACGGTGATCCAGTGGGCCAACAAGTGGTATCGGAGCCGTACAAGCACCGTCGTCATTCTAACCGATG